GAGAGAGAGAGAGAGAGACTCCCCGTACAAATTTGTGGCTTGTAGCTTCCCTTTCCGTACAAATTAGCTAATGATCACTGGATTCTGCTTGGCTGGACCAGGTTCTACCTTATTAATGTACAGAGAGTTGTGTTTTGGCATCTTTGTTGGATCTGTATCTTAAAAACATAGTTGCATTATGTCTAATTTTTATTTCATTCATATTACTCCCTCAAAATAGTTTTAGTTTTATCATAACTAGAAAGCTAGTGGCGCTTTTTGCAGGGCAAATTTTATGGATAAGGGCTACTAGAATGAATTATAGTCTCTCGTATGCTTGTATTTATAGTTTTAATCAATGTGCGTTTTCTTTTTCTTTTTTTTACTTGGCTCGGCCTCTGAGCTTGGCTAACAACATAGCGGAACTACTCAGACGAGTCTGGTTGACTTGCTGAGTCCTGCCCAAGAATGTGTAATAATTCAGGAAACGTCCTGGAAAATAAGGAAAAATAAAATTGCTGAAAATTGAGATAAACCACAAGCAAAGTAAATGGTATGTAAAATATGAAAAATGAAACTAATGTGATGATATTAGGGTGTACTCCCTACTTGGGAATCCATTGTAACATATTGTGAATTAAAAATTTCTATTATTCTAGTGCTATTTCAAATGAGGCCTCTGAAACTCCACTTCACATTGAAGAGTAAATATCTAAATATTAAGTTAAATGCATTGCTTTGCAATACAGATGTCTCTGGAGAGACTATGTCCTTGTCTCGCTGACACATTCAAAGTCTCAGAGAGCCCTAGCTATCCTACAATGCAAATAATATGTGGCTTTACACTTTAGTACCAAAAGGAGTGTCATGGATATACATACGGACACCTGGTGTCAATAGGGTGGGGGTTCCTCCCAAACATCACTCTGATCCCTGCAGTGGTCCCCATGTTTGTTGTCCCTTAATACACAGTAGCCAAGGCTAGTTCAGCTATTATGCTCACCACTGCCCTGTCCATTGGGATGTCATTTGGATTAGGAACAACTTCGGCTTTGACCCTCGTGTTGATTGCTATTTCTTCAAGCTCCACCAGCCATTCATCTGCTAGATCCTCTTGGAATATCTAATCCCAGTTGAATGGATTGTAATCATTCTTCTCGCTACTCATCTGCCGTTTCCTCAGGTTCAGGTTGTAGTGCTCATAATCTAGGTGTGCATCATCTCAAATTTCTACCTATTCCTTATTGGAGCATGAATCCATTTGAATGCACTCTAGTTTCTCTCACACGTTGTGGTGGAGAATGTTTGGTGGAGGATCCTGATTGCAATTTTTAGGAAGTTGGGGGTGTTGACTCTACATATGTTGCATTGTTTTTGCTGAAAAACAGAAGGTGAATTAGTCAATTATAAATACAATCAACCATAGTAATTATACACGGATTTATGAGTTATGAAAATTTTGATTCTAACTTGGATCTAAGTGGCATTGACTGTTGATCACGAGAATGGATCCAAATTGGCCTTGTGCATGGTTTCCAAATAAAACAAGCTAAAGCAACAAAACATGGATTTTCGATTAACAAACTACAATACGACAAAGATAGGCATGGTCTCGCATATTGAAGTAAAAAAAAAAAAAAATACTTTCAAAGCTTCAATTTGGGCATTCTCATCTGGCTTTAAATTTTCAATAGAATATTTCACCCCTTCCATGATCTCAATGTGTTCACTTTGACCCTGTAGATGGTGATATGCCTACATTATATTGTGATAATCAATGTATAGGAAAACATATGAGTTAAGATCATCATCAGAATCTTATCCCAACTATTTGGGGGGCACGAAGCTTGTTCCGCCATGCTGCTCTAGCAAGGACCATACCCTCAATAAGACCATAAGTCTTCCATCCATATTCTTTTGGGCCTTCCCCTTGCCCTTTTAGAGCCTTCCACTTGAACGAAGTCCCATATCCCAACTGGTGCTATATTAGTTCTATACTGCACATGACAGCCCATCTAAGTCTACTTTCCCTCATCTTATCGTCTATTAAAGCCATACCTAAGTTCCCTTGGATATATTAATTCCAAATTCTATCTTTTTACTCTTGCCACTCATCCATATTAACATCCTCATCTCAATTACACTCATCTTATGGGTATGTTGTTTCTTGATCGCTCAACATTCCGTTCCATAAAGTCAAGCTGGTCTCACAGCTGTCCTATAGAAGAAACAATGTAGATTGAGGAACTATGGAAAGTTACGGCAAAGTTTTATGTTGGTTTCCTACCTAACACAACCTCCTCTTTTACCTTGGCTTGGGACCAGCAGGGGGCTGGCCAAGGCGGAATTACTCACAAATTAAGATATGAATATAAATTAAAACTTGAAATTAAAACAATTACTTGTTGGATGGATAAGTGGTGCAATGTGCCAGCCCACTTCTCATCATTGATGGCCCAAACTTTAGTGTTGGTTTTGCAAAGGGCATGTATGACCAACTTTGCATGTCTAGTGCCTCATATAAGTATGTTATGGTAGGATTAACATTAGAATCAACCATCCCTAGGACTTGTACTGTGGGGTGGTGGCAACAACAATCTGGTTTCACTTATTCAAAATTCTGCAGTTATCAATAATTTTGTCAACATCTTTTCTGGCCCGAGTCCTTGAGATTTGTGCAAGAACCCATTACTTTGATTCCTCCATTCTCCTTCGATCCCGATTGCTGGTTTTCAATTGATTCTAATTTCAAGTATAATGTTGCAAAAGTCATAATAGTAGTCCTCCCTATCACAATACTGCTTCATCAAGCTAAGAAAAAAAAGGAGTAATTGTATATGAATTGTAAGATCTTTTTCTCTCAATCAATCCTGACCTTCTCTTCCTTCAATTCACATTTAGCTTTTAACACCAGGTCTATGCAATGAGAAGCACATGGGCTTCAAACCAAATTCGTCCTCTTATCCATGAATAATTTCCTTGCTTTAGCATTAAAATTTTGTAATCAATATTATCATATTAAAAGAAAGCCCCACATTATAGATACATATATATAAATATATGTATCTACCAGTCAAAACCCTCTCTATGTAAGAGAAAATTGAAAAATAAAAAGAATATTACACATTTCCTTGATAGTTAACAAAAGCTGTAATAATTCTAGGTCTAGAATTGTTCAAGATATGGCATTCTATGAATTTAAAGTGAAAAAAAAGAAGAAGAAATACCCAAAATTTCGAACAAGGCTCTTGGTTTCGAGTTCTTCATGCTAAGTTCAAATCAACAACTCAAACTCTCCTCAAAGCTTTTTTAAACAACTACAAATCACTATCATCTAAGCCTTATCCCAACTATTTGGGGTCAGCTACCGTTCCCCTCCATCAAGGGCCATACCCTCAGTCAGGCTGTAAGTCACCATTTCTCTTGTCACTACTTCTATCCATGTCTTTCCCCTTGCCCTTTTAGATCCTTCCTCTTAAACCAAATCACCCATCCTAATTGGTATTATTCCAGGTCGATGTTGCACTTAAATCAGGATCCATAATAGAGATGTGGCAAAAGTTTTATGCTGACCGCCAATGTAATACAGCCCTCATCCTTTCACATCTGGGTTTGGGATCGGCAATGGTGGAGTTTTTCAGACGACTAAAAATGAAACCCTAAACCATTTCTGAGTTTTGACTTTGGATCTAGATTTGAGCTCTTCAAAAATTTATATGAACAATAAATCTGAATTTTCAATCTCTCAAATCCTTTTTTTTTTGGGTGAAAAACAAGCCTAGGGTGGATGAAGATCCCCAAAATAGACATAGAGATCAAAGTTTATGGAGATTGGACCATCTGTTGCGAAGAAATCACAATTTTTTGATTTGGGCAAATTCTTGATCTCTGAATTCTGTTGACTCCACCCCACCCCCAAAAATCTTCCTAGTAGGTAGATCAGACAAAAATGAAGAAAAAAACGGGCCGGGTTTTCAACCACCCTCCCCCCCCCCCCCGGTAAACTGTAAAGTATAGCATATTGTAGTGACTTGCCCGGGCACTGTGAACTTGCCAAACTCCGGCGAGTCGTATAGTACTCGGGCGAGTTTGTACAGTATTCGCTTGAGTACCGTACAATTTGTCTCTCTACAATGTAACCCCCTTAGTTTGGGTGTGAGCCCAAGTGACTAGGATGAGTCCGAGGTGGAATCTTTGACTTGTAAAACACTGATTTGAATTGCTTTTACACAAAGCTGTGCAATTTTTTTGAGTAAATGTCTCTGGTGAGTCTGGTGCCCAGTGCTCATTTGTTACAATGTGAAGTTTATTATTTTAGTTAAGAACATAATTGTCCTGAATCTCGTGTTTGGAGATATTTACATGTGACTCCTTGGCATTTCAGGTGGGAATCCCAAGGACTTTTCAAGCCAAATTGTGATTGTGGAGGGGACCCTTTTGTAATTTCCATGCCTCCGCCTAATGTTACTGGGGCTTTACACATGGGACATGCAATGTTTGTCACTCTCGAGGTTGGAGAAAGTGAACATAGGATTTTTATTTCATTATTTACATCTAGCAACATTTTTTTTGTTCACATTTTGATTGCACACCTTAAGTTCTATGTTGATATCGTTGTTGTGCTAACTTTAAGTTCTTGTTTTCCTCCCGCTATTTGAGAATTGTTGCAAAATTAGATGTGATAAAAATGTTGAAACTTCTTCATATTTTGAAGATAGGTTTTCAACAAGCAAAAGCCTTTATGATGTCAGTGTGCTAATTTTGTTTAGGTATTTCCCACTATATTGTCTTTACTGGTCCTTGCTTAGTTGTGACTTTATAAAGGAAACTCAAGACCTGGTCTATATTCTGGTTTCGAAATCTTTGTGTCATTTTGTGTTGTATTTCGTTGTTGATTTTATTTATATAGTCATGTAAACTTTCTTCATGTATAGAAGTTTCTATAGATGGTCATTTTACTTTACCCGCCTTGATCTATTTCCTGCCGTGTGTACAATATTTTGAATGGAGTCTCTATTGTTTCTGGACTTCCATGGTGTTGCATATTTTAATTTTGGTTTTGATGCTTTAGGATATTATGGTTAGATACTCCCGTATGAAGGGCAGGCCAACACTATGGATCCCTGGCACTGATCATGCTGGCATCGCAACTCAGGTGTCTATCTTTCACCCATTAATTTTTTGCAGTTGGAAGAAATTATAAACAAGTTCAGAATAGATGAGATGTTCACTTCAAGCCGTTAATTATTTATAATTTTTCTTTGATCATTAATTATAGTGCAGTTTTACAACCCTAATTGATGAATCTTACTCCAGTTGTGAAAACTGTCAGAGATTATTCTGATCTCGGATAGAAGGTCTGGCAAGTTATTTGCTTTTGAACGAATAAGGCCACCAAGTTTACATAGAAATGGTCTATCATTTATTTATTGCATTGCAAACTGGATAAGTTCCTAGAAAGAGAAAAACCTTTTGCCATAGAGGAATTGCTTAGATGCGAAAATTATATATTAGAAAATTTGCTTTACAATGTATTTAATTACTTGTACTGCTAAATTTTTTTGTGATTGATGATTGTTTCAGTTGGTTGTAGAGCGTCTATTGGCCTCTGATGGCATAAAAAGGACTGACCTGAGCAGAGAGGAGTTTACAAGCAAAGTTTGGAAATGGAAAGCAAAGTAAGCTCCTCTTTACAAACTATTTTCTGTTGCGGTTATTGCCATTCTATACTTATTCCATCATCTGATGTATAGCTTTTAGCAGAAGGTTTTTGGATGGATAATCTTTAGATGGTTAATTTTAATAGGAAACAGCTATGTGGAAACAGAAGTTCCTTTTCTAAAATCTAGGAGCTGAATTTCTCAGATATTTATCTATCAATAGGAAACTGTTTTTCCATAGCTTCTTCGAACTGTATTGGTTTTAATTGATTTTATTATGCTTCACAACTATCCTGCCAAAACATTGCATTCCTATTGCTAGAATGTATAATTTTTTGCTTTCTGCATTACGATGTTATGTGCTGATGTCATTGGCTATCAAAGTTTTTGTTATTTCAGTTATATGTATATGCACATCTTTCATTAAAAAAAGAAAAAAATGTAGGTTTTATATATAACACAAGAAAGATTTCTTAAGTGAATTCCACTGTGCATTGTCCATAGATAATATTTTAAGGCAGTGTTTGCACAGTTTTGGTTTTTTATTCCTTCTCTTTTGCAGATACGGTGGGGCAATAACAAATCAAATAAAGAGATTGGGTGCATCTTGTGATTGGAGTAGGGAGCACTTCACACTTGATGAGCAGCTAAGTCGTAAGACAGTCCTCTAACTGAGCTACTTTTGTATAAAGTTGATTTAATGTCTTTGTTTGATTTAATTTGACCATATGTAGAAGTTTAAGTTTGACGAACGGATTTACTCATAAAACTATCCCCTAATTTTACATTGATTTTTCATGGAAAGTCTAAATATGTCATTATAAGAATGCTATTTCCCGTGAACCAAATTTTTTGTGTCCCTTGATGATGGATACTTTTTATTTTTATTTTTATAGATGTGGTGGACAATTTTTATTGCTGGTTGGTTCTTATATTTTATGATTCGTCTGCCACACTTTTCATTGTTAATGCTTGATTTTTAGTCGGTATACATGCACATACATATATATGTTGGCTGGTTCTGAAGTTTGCTCCTTTGATGGATGCAGGCGCTGTTGTCGAGGCTTTTGTTAGCTTGCATGAGAAAGGCCTAATATATCAAGGTAGGGCTTTTTAGTATCTTAAATATGGTTTTTTGTATATGTTACTTTGCTTTGTATCTGTTCTTCTTGTACTTTCTCTGACTTTATGCATATGGGTTGAAAACATTCACTTTTAGCCAGGGAATTTTTTTATTTATTTAATTGTCCGGCAGGACTCATCACTTGACTTAGTTGGTATCTGATTTGATCCAATCCAAGCACTTATGTTTTTCATTGAATGTTGGTTTATGTTGGACTTTTATATATATACATGGTGAATAAGCAATGTTATTTTTGGTTTGTGAATGAAACAACTCATGTTATTTTTGTTCATTGTCTAATCAGAGTTGTTAGTGGATTTACTTTGTATCTTTTATATTGGGTAGTTTAGCTGTAGGAATGGGGTTTGGGCTTGATCAGTGTTTCAAAAAGCAACTCATGTGAATGAGTTGTGAATGAAACAACTCATGTTATTTTGTTCATTGTCTAATCAGAGTTGTTAGTTGATTTACTTTGTATCTTTTATATTGGGTAGTTTAGCTGTAGGAATGGGGTTTGGGCTTGATCAGTGTTTCAAAAAGAGCTAGGCAGACCTAGGCGGCCCAGTCGAATCCAAAAAGGATGCCCAGTCAAAGATGCTTCTAAGGACTCAAAATCTTTTAGAAAATCCCCCAATAGATTTATGAAACATCAAAAATTAAATCTAATATCAATGGGTGATGTTTTGATCAATTTTTGCCAACTTTAAAAAAAAAAATTTCCGCCTTTGGGCGGGGCGCAAGCCCTGGGCAGCCGCCTAGATTGGCTGCCTAGGCCTGGGCGATGTGCCCAGGCCTTCTGGACCGCCTAGGCGCTAGACTGTCCACTTTTTGAATCAATAGGCTTGATTCAAACATCACGTTTTGCCATCCGAAATAATGCATGAGTCAATTTACCAAAAAAAAAAAATGGTGTATGTAATATTTACTTCTAACTTTTAAACATTATACCAAGAAAACAATTCTAATGTTATATGAGCTTTGTAATTATTATTATTTTTTACGTATGAAAGTTCTGTTATTTTTTGCGTGGTAAGTCTTAATGTACTTGTGAGTTATGTCATTTAATAATATTGAAAACTTTTGTGGACATTGCTGATCTTTTAACAAAGCGAGATCTTCTCCAGGTTCATATATGGTCAATTGGTCTCCCAAACTTCAAACTGCTGTCTCCGACTTGGTTTGTTTTCTCACCTTCATTCCCTCTGCTGCTTTTCTTGATTACTGTTTCTTGGTATCTTAATCATATGTGCTGACTAGTTTTTACTTGGAGGACCCTGTTAGTTAAATTTCCTTTTGATAGTGGACATGGGCTACTTTCTGAATGCTGTTGGTTTTTCTAGTTTCTTGATTGCTGATCGGTTCTTGAGTGGTGAAAGATGATCACAGAAAAATGTGATTGAACTAATCAGCTTTGTTGTTTCCTATTTCGGAAAGTATACCATGACCAAGTAGCACCCAAACTGTATGTTTCATGTATTCTCAACATCTGTTGTCAATAATAGATGGTTGAGATGAAGTGTTTTTTCCCTGTGATTCACTTGAGCAGGGGAATGGTGAGGATGCATGAAGCATGTTGTTTAAATCAATGTTTAAAACTTCGGTGACCTGATCTTGATTCAGGCGATCCAGATCGGGTATCATCCAGCTTGTCCCGTATCCACTTAAAAACAGGATCCGACTGTTTTGACACAGGAACCGGTATGATGATGCCATACATCGATGTGTGATGTCACACGTCGGACATGTCAGATTTTGATGTCTTCAAAATCAAACGGTTTTGACTTTTTGAAAATCATGAAATTGTTTAAAATTGTTTAGAGTGGGCTCACCACATACATCACCATGGTACAGCCTCACAATAACCATTCCAACTTTCCACGTGGACCTTGCCATTCTTATCATGTGCTTGTGGATAGCATGAGTTCATTTCCTTTAATGTGCACATTTGCTCCCACATCTCTTCGATGTGGGACAAATATTTTATGAGCTTATTTCATTGCCTTCTACCATAGGAGTATGGCGGTGCCTCGTATCAAAAGAATATATCTTTTTGTAACATACCACAATACAATAACAATAGCGCCCTGTTTTTTCCAAAAGGTTCATAGTATGTGGTAACCACTCGTGGTGTCTACACTATTGTGGCGAGACAAGGGAACAAATTCATAAATAAATAAATAAAGGAAAATTATATATTATGATTAAAATATAATAGATACACACGAGATTGACATTGACTAGGGTTCCATGCTTCATAGGAAAACTTATACTAATAATTGATTTATGCTTTCCTCAAAAATGCCAAATGTTTTGGGGTTAAACTTAAAAATTATTGCGATCTTACGCATATTTTTGAAATAGCCTTGTCATTGGTCATCATGTTTGATTTTCTCATTTTAATGACAGAATTTATTATTAATTAGCAAAATGTGATAATTAATAATTATACATTGATAACCAAATCTTGTATTTTATTTATTAATTTATTTGTATTATAAATTATGCAATGTACTATTTTTTGCTTATAGTTGTAAATAAGATTTTTTAAATTAGATGATATTATAAGACATCAGATTTGTTCTTGTTTGTATAGTAAATAATTATAAAATATAAACCAACAATTTCAATTTTAGTATATAATATTATAGTTAGCAAGGTTGTGATTTTTTTGGATGAGTAAAAGTGAATTAATAAATGTTTTATACTTTGATGTGTTTTCCAATATTTTTAAATTATTTTTATGTAATAATATAATATTATATTATAATTAATAATTATATAGACATCTAGGCAGGAAAACTGCATCTCAATATTCACCTATTTTTACAAAGTAATGAAAGTACATAATGCACCAGTCCTAATTTCTTTTAGAAATTAAAAGAGCACTATTTTTAGAGATTTATAGTGATTTTTTTGAAATTTTTTTGGGACAAAAATTTTCGATTTGGCCGATTCTCCGTTCCAATCCACCAATCCGACACAGGTATGGGTGGGACCGAATCGGGTCACCAATCTGTTTAGTTAAACACTGGTTTAGATGCTATATATATCAGACTATATGCTGTGTGATGTACATTCTCTTTCCCGTCTGTTTTAATTCAGCAGCCATCCAGCGTGCTTACCTTCTTTCAATTTGCTGGTGCTCTTATGTAATGCTTATTGATATACTTGTTTTGCTTGTATGAACATATTGTTTATTTCTGACATTTATGGTGTTATCTGAACTAGTAATACGCATGGGATCCTCATATTTTTTTCTTGTATATGTTTCACCGTACCCCTTTTGAGTCTCCTAACACAGACAACAAATTTGCTACTATGTTGCACTGGTGTATATGGGATCGTGATGGTTCTATCATGTCTCCGGGGTCTCTTCTTGCAAGTCTGCCTGTCTCCACAAATGAGGGGTGCTGTATCCTTCAATGAAGGATAGAGAGAGAACAGTGACTAAAGAGGCCACAAGATGTCGTTTCCCGGGCACTTGTTAACACAATCAAGTCTGTGAATCTGGATGCCTGTCCAATCTGCATTGAAATAAATCGAGGTTTAGATTCTCTATGACATCAGTATGTGGCAAACAAGGGCCTTAATGTGGATGCCTTCTAAGTTTTTTGTTTTTTGAATATGGTGGAAGCCTTCTAAGTTATGCACACTATGAAATGCTCCTTTTTGCATTTTATAAGTATTCACATCGGAAACTTTGAAAATTTTAAATATGTTGTTGGATGGTGCACTGTCATTAAAGGGGAATCACTTTTTATGAAGCAATTATGCTCCTCATGGCATGCACTGTTGTAAACTCTATATGGCACCTTTTACTAGTCTACACATGATAATGCATATTTGTGATGTAGACTAATAAACGTCAATCTATTATCTCAATTATTAAAATCCTTATGGTTGTTTACCATTTAGAGGGGACTCGCTAAAATGCCCCTGTGACTAATTGCAGGGCACCAAGATCAATAAGGTCCCTCAAATTCCACCTAAGTTCAAGAAGGTAGAGTTCCTCGTGAATTAATGACATTGGATCCCATTCCCTAAATGAAATGAATTGTGGTTTGCTGATGGAAATGATATTACACCATATCTGTCTTGGATGAAATGACATTCTCCCTTATGTGCACTATCTGTGCATGAGAATAAGATTAAAACAATCTGAGTAATGACGGTACTATCTCTGTTGTCATGGTGTACACCAAGGAGAAAAGGTTTTGAAGCTTTTTCTTTTGACATGAAGAAAGGGTTTTGAATCTTGATCTACATATTTGAATTGATCATGATAAGTATATGATGAACTCTGGTTTGTTGAGAAGTTGTCGCAAAGTATGCATGTTGGTGTATATTTTTCAAGACATTTGCATTCCCGCCATTTTTCCTGTATATGCTTATACTGAGGTTGCATCAAAGTTTGTAACCTGTGATTTAAATACGTTTTAAGTCTGTTTATTGGTGAAGAAGCTCCAGGTCCTGTTTCATTGTACTTGATACTTCCATATAAATGTTTTTGCCTTTGTAGATTTCGTACTTCACATACCATAACATGTCCTGAACTGTGGAATCAAATTGTAATATATTTTTCTTTCTTATCAGGAAGTAGAGTATTCTGAAGAAGTTGGTTCTCTTTATTACATCAAATATCGTGTTGCTGGTGGTTCCAGGTGTGGCTCCGATGCTATGGCCTTGAAATGCGAGCCTCACTTTATTTGTAGTTGCATAACTAGTTCCTCATCTAAGATTACCATATCGAGTTTCACATTCCCTTAGATCTTTTTTTCTCTTTACTCTGACAATCTATGGTGGTGCTTCCATCCTCAGTAAACACTCTAATATAGTAGTTATACTGTCTTTGAGGTTTATATACTAGGTCATTGAATTGTAGTGACTTGCAAAAGTAATTGACTTTTTCTTTTAAGAGCATTTTGACATCTTTACTGGTTCTGCTTCATGATAAATAACAACTAGAATGGTTGTGATGGTGATGAAGAGCATCCATTTGACTTGGCTGACATCTGGTATCAGCCAATATTTGGCCGATCTCCCAGATACAAGTGTATTTGCATAGACATGGACATAATTAGAAATACCTCCACTCTCTGTTATGTGCAGTTAGAGTTGTTGAAGTTTATTGTATATGCTTTCTGAAGCTCATCTTTTACCCTCTTTTTCTAAAGGAGTGACTTTCTTACCATAGCAACAACACGGCCAGAGACATTATTTGGTGATGTAGCCGTTGCGGTGCATCCTGAGGTGGGCCTATTACTGTCTTCTGAATTGCCTTTGTGTTTACTTCATGTTTTCTCAAGTTTCACATATACACACAAAAAGCTTATATATGTATTGGACATCAAGCATTTCTCAATAGGTAAGAGCCCCTGCATCATGTTCTTTATATATTAGATCAGCTTTTACTGATCTGCTTGTTGATGCATGTGTGGGTGCATGCTTCTGTTTGTGCTTCCCCTCATGAATTTGCTTCCTTCAGTCTTTTTTGGACCATGCCACCACCATGCGTTTTTTCTTTTGTAATATGAACGTGCATTCACCTGGGTGCTTGTGTTATGATAATTTTCCTTTGGAAAATTTCCCATTTTATTTGATGTGGCATAAATATTTTCAATTTGGTTTTCTACTTATTTCATGAGTTTTTTTAGTTTTTTGATTTGTAGCTATAAAGCTGGGTCATCCAATGTAAAGGAGTACCTTGTAAGACATAGCACATACGTGAGGTGCACAAAAAGTGTTAAGAAATAACATCGACCTATTTTAAGGGTTTTCATTTTGGCATTAGTAGACTCATAAACATATTGGGGCCATTAAAGCCATCAACAGCCATTGTTCTCCATGCTTGATGGGGACACCCAACTTAGACTGAGCTGTTATCAGAATTAGCTTCATAGACCCCGCTAGTGGCTGAGTCTGTTGCATCCATGCTTTTCAAGATCATAGATTTGCTTAAACACTCTCCACTCTCATACCATATAAAGTTTGTTACAAGTGCAAATGAGATGGTTGAGTCCCAAGTCCACTCCCTAGATGCAAACACCATGACCCTGATGTAATTAAACTTGTTTGCGCTTCCTGCCCATGATTCACATGTTTGTAGTGTTACTCTTCCTGTTATTGCATTTATTTTCTGATAATTTAGGATTACTGGTTTGATTCTTAATTTGATTCAAGGCTGATTCTGAATGAAATTCATATGTTTCTTTCTATTTTGTAGGATGAACGGTACGCTATGTATGTTGGCAGGCAAGCCATTGTGCCCCTCACATTTGGACGGCATGTACCTATTATCGCTGACAAAGTATGAATTCAGTCATTATCACATTTTTCTTACTTGTCAACGAAACGTATTTGTTTTTTTGCTTACAAGTTTCATGAGGATGGTGGGAGTTATTTGTTTTTATACTAGAAGAGCATCCCTATAAAAGAACTCTTTTTTAGTTCCCCATGTCTACCTTTGTTGTAAAGAAGTTATATTGTTGAATGTGCTCACAAAAAACAGTATTCTACATGTTAACTTATCATTATCAGAGTTTTTTCACAACTATTTGGGGTTGGCTACATGAATTCTAGTCCGCCGTGCTCTATCAAGGGCCATACCCTCAGTGGGGCCATGAGTCTCCATATCTTTTCTCGCTACTTCCAACCATGTCTTTTTTGGCCTACCCCTTGCCCTTTTGAGCTTTCCACTTAAACCAATTCGCACCTCCTAACAAGTGTTGTACTGGGTCTGACGTTGCACATTGCCAGCCCACCAAAGTCTACATTCTTTCATCTTATCGACTATTTACACCTACGTCCTCCCGAATGTATTCATTTCAAATTGTATCGCTTCTTGTCTTGCCACTCATCCATCTCAACATCCTCATTTCAGCTACACTCATCCTATTGGTATGTTGTTTCTTGGCTGCGCAATATTGTGCTCCATCAGAGTCTTTTCCCAACTATTTGGGGTCGGCTACAAGAATCCTAGTCTTGCTATTCTACTTTATTAAGGGCCATACCCTCAGCTCTAACATACAGATCCTTCATTCAAATTCCAATCTTCATTTGTAAAGGCCACTTGCTCATGATCACACTTTTAAACTACTCCAGTTTTCAACTTATCTTGTTGTGGATGAAGTATTGCCATCTCTTGAGCAAAAATATGCTCATCTTGTATCACTCTGTGCCCTTCGGGCTTGGCATATTAGTAGAACGGATTTCTAGGGCCATATTCATTTCAAAATCGCACACTTTGTGCTTAATGTGTTAATTCTTGTGTTAATTCTTATCATGTATAACATGCTCCTTCGCTACCTTTTTTAATTGTTATTCATTATTTGGTATCATCATGCTTTCTATGTCTTTTGAGATATATACTTTAATTTTTAGGAATCTCTTTGCGAACTGTGTGTCATAAAAAGATTGTTATCAATGGACCACATTTGAGAAGTATTTTCTTTACTGTTGATAGATTTTTCTATATTATATTAATCTGAGATTGGAATGGACAGTATGTGGATAAAGAATTTGGAACTGGAGTGTTGAAGATAAGCCCTGGGCATGATCACAATGATTATCTTCTGGCAAGAAAGCTAGGTCTTCCTATACTCAATGTGATGAACAAGGACGGGACTGTAAATGATGTCGCTGGACTATACTGGTGAGTTATAACTCTTTATACCATGATGAGAATTTCTACTGTAGCACCTTTTTAATGATCATTATTAAGGAAATTACCTGTATAACAATTTATTATAGATTTTTTGGTGACTTTTTTGTTGCCTATTTAGCGGACTTGACCGTTTTGAAGCCCGTAAAAAGGTTTGGTCAGATCTCGAAGAGACCGGTCTGGCTGTGAAAAAGGAGTCCTATAATTTACGAGTTCCAAGATCTCAACGTGGTGGAGAAGTCCGTCCTATATCCTTTTCTAAATTTTCCTCTTCATTTATGCATGAATTTATTCACATAAACTGATTGAAGTCCTGATTTGACCTCAATGGCACAATTATCTATTTAGGTAATTGAACCACTTGTGAGCAAGCAATGGTTTGTAGAAATGGAGCCTTTGGCTGAGAAAGCTCTTGATGCAGTGAAGAGAGGGAAGTTAACAATTATCCCTGAAAGGTTTGAGAAGGTACTTGTTTGTTTTCGTGGCAGACAATCCTTGCTTCCTTCAAAATTATCCTTATTATTTTGTTTTCTGCCAAGTGGGAGTAATTGCTGCCTTTGAATATCATTCGCCATTCGTTTCTTTTGGGGAAGTTTATGCTAATGTCCCCTAATTTTTGCGATAGTAAAAAAATGTCTCCCAATGCTACATTTTATTCTCATGTTCCTTTTTTTAGTTTTTTTATGTTTTTCTCAAAATATCCCTGGTTGGGAACTATTAGTTCTGAATCCTCATTGTAGGGAATCAAAGTGGTGCAGCACTATTTTGATTCTTCACATATGTATAGAAAGCATTTGGGAACCAATAGTTCTGAAACTGGGAAAATTGTGGGAAAAAGTCAAAAAGAAAAAAGGGGTCATGATTGTAAAATGTAAAATATGTAGGACACTTATTAGCATAAGTTTCCCTTTTTTTAAAAAAATTAATATTATCAATTTCATCACGGTTGAGCATTTCTTTACTTTTCTATCTTTATTCATTCCTTTGTTAAATGTGAGAAATCCTAAATCGAGTCAGGAAGGGTTGTGAAGCAAACCACATAGATGAGGAGAATGGTCCACTTCTATTTACAATCACAAAGGCCCCTTGGTTGAGTAAAATACAACCAAGACATAATATTATGACGACTACATCAATACCTTTGGACTTGAGTAATATGGATATATGTTTGCAACTAAACATGGAGATGTGTATGGGTGGCAACAGGTCACGTCGACCCGGACCCGAAATATTATGGGACATGGACCTAGACCCCACCAGACTTGATCAGATCTGACCTAAACTATCTATATATTTATATATATTTCATAAATTGGGACCCAAAAATATAATGTGGGATCCAGACCCAGACTTGAATAGTGTTCAGGTCCAAGATTTGGACCCGGACCCAACCCCTCATGTCCAATTTTTATACTTGGTCAGGTCCAGGTCTGGGTCCATTTCTACCCCTAGAAAGTGACAGAAATCTTTGATGTCTTGAAAAATTTCCCTCAAACTGAGTGGAAGTATTAATGATCATTGATTTGTCCCCCAAAAAAGAATGTCAGTTGCAAATTGTGGATTTGATGCGCTTTTTTTATTATTATTATTTGAATGGGTAGGTATCTTGGTTTGTTTTTCGGCGCAAACTTCATGGGTCAACCCTTGATCTTCCATTTGTAAATGGGAGGTATTCCACTAGGTTAACATCTAAGGGACAATTTGATGGCCATAATTGCTAAATGTAATTTAGATTAAACATAAGATAGAGATATGGTGGTCTGGTGATGTTACTTTGCGGTACTTTGACAAATGTTGAACGTAGTGGTTTCGAAATTTATTTTCATGTTTGCCAATAACTTTCAGGACTGTTCCCACTTCCCTCTATTATGCGAAGCAGGTTTCATTCAAGTTATTGAATATTGACTGTTCCACGAATATGTTACACTACATATTGTGTTGAAATTTATGGCTCTTGACTTCTTGATTGTAGATATATAATCATTGGTTATCGAATATCAAGGATTGGTGTATAAGTAGGCAGTTATGGTGGGGGCACCGTATACCAGTTTGGTACATTGAAGGTAAGGATTGTGAAGACTATTATGTTGTTGCAAGGGATGAATCTGAAGCACTTACTGTAGCTCATGAGAAGTATGGGAAAGGGGTGAAAATATATCAGGATCCGGATGTTTTGGACACTTGGTTTTCAAGGTTTGTGCTTCAACTTTTTGGTGAATTCTGGACGATCTTCCTGAATTTTTCTGTGGGCTTTCTTAGTTGCGTAAATATGGTTATTATGGACTGATACTTTTGTTGTCCCTTGTGCATACCTCTATGTGTGTGCTCACACGTGTGCGTGTGTGCATGCATGTACGTGTGCTTGTGCGCGTTCGTGCTTGTGTGTGTGTCTGTGTGCGTGTGTATGTGCATGTGTGTTTTGGTTTCTTAAGCCTGAGGTTCATGACACAATTTATATTCCTCTTTTAAGTTATTGACTTAAAATTTGGTTTTATGTGGTTCTTGGCAACGGAATAGTATCACCAACACTAAATGTTTTATATTTATTTCAGTGCTCTTTGGCCCTTCAGTACCCTTGGCTGGCCAGATGTGTCAGCTGAGGATTTCAAGCATTTTTATCCCACTACAGTCCTTGAAACAGGGTATGTACTGGCTGGTATATTAGTAATGTTGTCTTGTGCTTTTGCCTTGATGCAAAAAGTGGGTTAGGAAACATTGGTACTTCTAACCTCTTGTCTTCTTGTCAAACCCATATCTATTTTTTGTTCTTTTGTTTTTCTGCCTTTCTTTCCTTAATTCAAGAGTACGTCATTTGCTTAGCTTTAATGATATGACTAAGAAGGAAAGGCTTATCTTCAATTGTCTATCCCTAAACACTATAATATGTTCATCTTAATGTTGTCCATGAGAACATGGCTTGTGAACTTGTTGTATGGTTTGGCTACAAAGTTCTGAATAAAGGTAAATATGAGCTAGTCATAGTTTTCAGAAATGGATGTTGTTAGACCTTGTCCAATTTCTTTGCATAGAGATAGAAGTGGCTGGGACTCTCTGAAGGAGAGCTGGTTTGATCCAATACAATGTGAAAAGTAAAATGTATAGAAGCAGCTTAAATTGATTTTCATTGATATATACAAATCCTACTATATGTACATGAAAAAGAACACTACATGACTAATTCCCTATTCAAGTAGTAACAAAAAATGCACCTGAAACGAACAAAAGGCAATGTTACCCTCACTATTACTATAGTCCATATGTCATCTTACAAAGCAAATGAAGAAAAAAAAAAACTGCAATTTTCTTACTAAAAAACGACAACAGGCTGAGGCAGCACTATTTTAAATGTTACATTGGAAGCTCTACAAAAATATTTGTGGTTTATGGTTACCATTGCTTATAAAATCTTGGGTTCAATTACTTCTGTCAATGGAGTTAAAGAACTTTTTTTTTTTTCCTTTTTTTGAATATGGTGTGTTTTTCCCATTGTTACCTGATTGAGTTTGGATTGATCTTGATGTCCTGGTTTTGCTACTGCCATTTCTTTACATGTCTATGTTTGTTATGATTGTAAGGAGGATCTCACAAACGCTAATTCTTTTAAGTACACACATTCTTTCCCAATTTTATGGATCTTTGTAATCGTGGCTCATGTAAATTCCTGATGTCATCTCTCATGTTCATGATTTCTTTGTTTGATGTATTTCTTTCAGGCATGATATTTTGTTCTTCTGGGTAGCTCGGATGGTTATGATGGGAATTGAGTTCACAGGGACTGTGCCTTTCTCATATGTCTATCTCCATGGACTTATCCGAGACTCCCAAGTGAGTACAGCTAGAAAGAACATGAAGTTTTCTAGATTTAGTTTCATTTTCTCCTCTTGCCATATCTATTATCAGCAGATGGTTCTCTTATTAGAGGGGGCAAAGTTACATAAAGGCATCCCAGGATATTTTTTATGTAATTGTCATTATTTAGGCTGTCTTTGTTGATCAAAAGAAAAGGCGGTGCCTTAGAAGTTTGCACATGGAATGCCAATTTTCTTTTTAAACTTCATAATTTGTGATATACAGATGAAGCTTAGTGTTTATCCTTCTCTCTCTTTTTTGCATTTTATTTAGGTTGTGCCAATCTGAGAATAAATTCATAAACTTTGTCCTGTTTGGCATGCTTTGTGAAACATGGTCCTACTCTTAAATAGAAAGTGATATGTATTATGCTTTACATCATGTTTCTTATTGGCTGAGTGAACTCACCAATACTGCTTGCTTGCTCTAGAAAATTATTATGCTATATCTCTGCCATACTTTTGAAGCAAGTAATATGTTTGAGAATAAATGCCTAAATTTTGTCCTGTTTGGCATGCTTTGTGAAACATGGTCCTACTCTTAAATCGGAAGTGATATGTTTAATGCTTTACACCATATTTCTTAAATCGGAAGTGATATTTTAATGCTTTACACCGTATTTCTTATTGGCTAAGTGAACTCACCAACACTGCTTGCCTGCTCTAGAAAATTATTATGCTATATCCTACTGCCGTACTTTTGAAGCGAGTAATGTGTTTGTCAGAATTCTTCTGCCACTCCTCATGGTATGCTAATGTTTTAGAGGTGTGAGTATTTCAGGGCCGAAAAATGTCAAAAACATTGGGAAATGTCATAGACCCAATAGATACCATCAAGCAATTTGGCACAGATGCTTTACGATTCACCCTTGCATTGGGAACTGCTGGACAGGTCATTTATGCTGCTAAAAATAGAAAATTATTGCATTCAAGATGTACACCTGTCTTTGTGGATTTTTGAGAAGTAGTTTGATGTATTAAATTGGCCTTTTTCAACTCTCATGTTCAAATGTGGGTTTTTCAGGACCTTAATTTGTCAACAGAAAGATTGACTTCGAACAAGGCCTTCACCAACAAGTTGTGGAATGCTGGCAAATTTGTCTTGCAGAATTTGCCAGATGAAAGCGACTTGCCTGGTTGGGAAAACTTATCGGCATTCAAGGTTCCCTCTTTATTATAGATGCAACTGTATTTAATGGTAGCAGGCCAATAAGAGAATACGTTGTTGTACTGTGTAAATTTAGATGTCCTTGGTGTTTTATTCTTGTCAAATTAATTAACATATAAAAATGACTTTTTCTTAAGGTTATTAATGTTTTAAATACTGTAATGTTTCATGTCTCTGGCAATGCCAAGGGTTGGATCAAATGGACATGTATTGGTAGTGGATGTCATTGGGTACAGCCCCAGTTGACAAAATGCAATAAGTATCAGAAAGCATATGATTTGAATGATGCTATACGATTCACATTGTTAGAGTGGATCACAGCCTCTTATAAACCATGCGATCATCATAAGCAGAATTTGGAGTGGGCTTGTTTCTGTTGTCATCAGTTTGCAATTTTTAAGGCTATTACTTTGCTGTCATGATTTCACAGCATCTCTGCAGTTTAGAAATTGTAGATTCACACACAGTACCATTTTGAACTATTTGTGTTGGAGTAGATTGTAAATAATACATTATTCTAGTTATGCTAAGATTTTTATTGATTGTGTATTTAGATTGATACTGAGGAATCTTTGCTTGGGCTACCTTTAACCGAGCGTTGGGTGGTGAGTTGGTGAATAAGTTAGACTTTTTGATATTATGGTGGTCCTAGACCTCGGTTTGACAGAAAAACTTGCATATTCAGGTCTCAAAACTTCACGAGCTTATTGATGATGTCACTTCAAGCTATGACAAATTTTTCTTTGGAGATGTTGGAAGAGCAATCTATGATTTTTTCTGGGGCGAATTTGCTGACTGGTACAGTTGATTCTATAGAACCTTAAGAGTTTATGTTCTTTTGAGCTATAACCTTCTGTCCTGAAATTGGATACCTTTCAATATGATCAGCAGATTGCATCAGAAAGGTGAATAACTCATTTTGGTTGCAGTCATCATGTACCAATAGCATTTGGCAAATACCCATTCAAGTGAAATTTAGATGATCAAATGAAATACTGCACCATTAATAGAGAAGTGGTGACTTTAATGTTCCATTTTCCCAAAATGAATTTCAGTCCTAATGTTTTGGATGAATTTAAGAAGCCTTAGTGCTAGTATAGAACCACTGTCATAATATTCCTGCTATTAGGCAATGATTACAGAGAAGGTAAACTAAACTCCTTTTTTATATCTTAATTGTGAAGAATTTTAGGGAAGACCACCAGTACATCAAACCACTACCAATTGTCCTGAATTAAGTATGGTTCTTTTGACTCGTATATTGACGCTGTTTGAGAAGTTTAATAACCTGATTGTAATACTAATGATCGCATGTTTGAGTAGTTTAATAACTTGACTGTAATACTAATAATCACAAATCTTTTCTCACTTAGACCCATGACGTGTGATATACAGTACAGTAGTACACTATATACACTATCCAGTATCAAAGTGAACCCCTGGCTTTAGACCTGTCTGTTTTGGAAAGGGTAGCTGGCATGCTTTGTACAAAGAGCTTGCTTCCGATGCACTCTCTCCCGTTTCCATGGGATCAAAAGAGAGGATCTTAGAATCAATAACATCATACCTGAGAGTAACCTGTGATTTCCTATGCAGTGATCCTCTTTAGTGGTAAAAATTGTTCACATATTATAAGAGCAAAGGTCCTCATCATTCAATTTTACTGGCGTTTTCCTACAAATTTCGTCTATGGTGTTCGGTTACTACATTTTTTGAAGTAAATTTGTCTTACTGACTTGCTTCAGGTATATTGAAGCTAGTAAAGCTCGTCTATATGCCACTGAAGACCTTTCAATTACTTATGTAGCACGGGCGGTCCTTCTGTATGTCTTTGAGAATGTACTTAAGTTACTCCATCCTTTCATGCCTTATGTAACTGAAGCACTATGGCAGGTAAACCACAGGTGCTTCTCAATCTCAGCTATTTAGGTGCAGATGTTATTGATGATCCCGAGATTGTTATTTTATGTATATATATATATATTACTTTGGGAGTTTGCTAGTCATCTCCATGCTCTAACTGATTAGGATATTAAATTGTGCATTGCATGGTTAGAAGACAAGCATTTGTGGGTGTGTTACTTGCACTTGAGATTATTTGCTATAGGCTATGGCATGTTATGCTAAATTATTGTGGGCTTTTCTGTGCAGGCTCTGCCTAATCGTAAAAGTGCTTTAATTGTATCTAGTTGGCCCAACACTTCACTTCCGAGAGATGCAAAATCTGTCAAACATTTTGAGAGTTTGCAGTCTTTGGTGAGTTCCACTTCCTTTATTGAATCTCAAAGAGCAATTATCAGAAGAGAAAATCTTAACCCTTGCAAGGCTGTTTGGTTCATGGAATCATTGCTTTTCGTGCATGAAGAACTGACCATCAATGTCTTTTGTATGCATTGGTTCTTAGACGAGAGCTATTAGAAATGCTCGAGCTGATTATTCTGTTGAGCCTGCAAAGCGAATATCTGCTACCATTTTTGCAAATGATGATATCCTGAAGCATATTTCAGTGAGTATTCAAAATTTGAGGGAATGAGTGTGCTGGGTTCTCCCCTATATAGGGAAACCTGTTTCTTGTCTGTGATTTAGTAGAAGTGGATCAATATAATTAAGAAGTTCGAATATGTGTTCCATAATTATCTTTTGTTTAAATTTTTTCCATGATTTTCATTTGTGAATATTTCCCTATTGCAGTCAGAAAAGCAAGTGCTGGCGCTACTTTCCAGGCTAGATATACAAAATGTTCATTTCACTGATTCTCTTCCCGGTGATTATTCATGTCATGCACCATATTGTTTTTCTATTAGCCTTACTTTTTTATGTTTCTTGACATGATTTTTTAATATGCTGACTATTACCACTGGCTGCTTTCTGAATGCATAAGAACATGTGAAACGGTCAGTTCACTTAGTGGCAGGGGAAGGTTTGGAAGCTTATCTTCCTCTTGCAGATATGGTAGATGTCTCAACAGAACTAAACCGTCTTTCAAAGCGCCTTTCAAAGATGCAGACAGAGTACGACACACTTGTTAACCGCCTTAAATCTCCGAATGTGAGCTCTCTCTCTCTCTCTCTCTCTCTCTCTCAAACATGCATGCATGTATAATGGTCATGTATAATATGATCCATATGCTTGTCATAACCACATAACCATAGGGTTATTACTGCCCCATTTATAGGTCGGGTGGAGATGGAGTGAAGTGGGTTTATAATCCAATTGATGAATTCTTTGTCCCTACTCTCTTCACCACTATCCGACCAATTGATTGGACGATGATAAACAAAATGAACTTGGTTAGTATGACCATATGGATCATGTTATATTCTGCCATTTATAACCTCCCAAAAGAACTCATTGTATGATATACTCATGGGGTGTCATGTTTAGCATTAGCAACCTGAGATTGGTGTCATTACTGTCCCGTGTATGGGTTGGATGGTGATGGAGGGTAGTAGGTCTCACCAGCAATTCAATTGATTTAATTCTATGTCCTTACTTTCTCCCCATCACCATCCATCAGTTGATTGGAAGATAATGAAGCACGTGACCTTGGTTAATATGTGATGACCATGTGGACGGATTTTTTTATATTTTTTGATGAAGTTAACTGTTGTATTAAAAGGAATGAGTAGTAAGTCTCCAAGAAGTCGAGACTATGTACAGCAAAAGCATGGTGAGCCACTGAGTAGGAGCACTATACAAAGGCTTCCAATGGTGAGAAGAAAACAGCAAGGAGGGAGAAAGTGTCAAAGACTGCACAAAAGCATAGACTGAGCTTGTAAAAAACTCGAGTCATTGACGTTTATAGCGCCCGCCTTACCAAGTGTATCGGCGTAGGAGTTACTTTCACGCCATATGTGTCTCCATTCAATTGTGATGCTTCTGCTCAAGTGAGTAATTTCTTCAAAAATCAGGGCCAGAGGCCAGGGTCAAGATGCCGAACCCGAGGCCCCAGTGGACGTTTCTAGAGTGACAATCCTGTGCCCCATGAGGGATCAAAGAGTCTGAGGCCTTCAAGAAGAGTGAGAGCCTTAGCAGATTGGGAATCTGAGTGGCTGAGGTGTTTAGAGAAGGAAGCTAGGATAGGGCCTTCTGTGGATCTTAGTATGTTTTTTCATTTATAACCCCTCCCAAAAAGGTTCTATTTATACTAGACTTATACTTACGGGAGACCTACTTAGATAGCATTGGCAACTTGATCCCATTGATGTCTTCAATTATCCCATCTATTGGTCAGATTGTGATGGAGGGTAGTAGGTTCCACCTTACATTTTAATCAATGAATTTTATGGCCTTACTTTTCTCTCCATCATTGTCCAACCAATTGGTTGGACGATGATAAACCAGATGCTCTTGGTTAGTATGACCATATGAATTATATTATATTTTGGGATTGTATACAATGAGACTATTTAGAGATTGTTTCTGATATTTAGGGTCGTTAATCCAGGAGAATGGAGAGATTGAAGAAGATGTCGCACATAGAAGTAGAGTTGAGTGGGCGAAGTGGAGATGTACATCTAGAGTTTTATGTGATTGCTGCATACGGTTGATACTTGAAGGGGAAGTTCTATAGGATGGCTGTAAGACCAGTCATGCTTTATGGGACGAAATGTTGGGTGGTTAAGAAACAACTGATTTAGAGGATGAGCTTAGTTAAGATGAGGATATTGAGATAGATGAGTGGCAAGACAAGAAATGATAGAATTCTGAATGAATACATACAAGGGAGCTTAGGTGTGGCTTCAATAGGCGATCAGATCGGGGAAAGCAGATTTATTTGGGCTGACCATATACATCGTAGGCCTAATACACCACTGGTTAGGGGGTGTGATTTGGTTCAAGTAGAAGGCTCTAAAAGGGCAAGGGGAAGGCTGTAAAGGATATGGATAAAAGTAGTGAAAAAAGATATGGTGACTTTGGTTTTACTGTGGGTATGACTCTTGATAAAAAAAATAGAGGAACATGATTCATGTAGCCAACCCCAAATAATTGGAATAAAGGCTTAGATGTTGATGATGATGATACTATGAGACCATTTATCTTTATTACAAGGAGGGCACGATTGCTACTAGCCATTAGATTTCAAATTGGATGGTTTAAGGTGTCACGAAGTTCAAGAAATTCGTTTTTGAATTTTGAGTCTAGTCAATGACACATTCACAACTACTCGATTTGAAATCTGACCGACAATAATGATTGTGACCTTGTATTAAAAGTAAATGACCTCTTTGAATATTTTTCTTTATATTTTTGTCCATGTATAGCCCCTCGTATAAAAATACATGTGAATATACTATAGGGGTCCTACTAAGCATTGTCAACCTGATCTCATTTATCATTGATGTCTTGCAGTTTGTGGAGAAGGCCCCATCAGATGTTGTTAAAGGGGTTCAAGAGAAAGCAGCTGAAGCTGAAGAGAAGATAACTCTAATGAAAAAACGTCTAGCTTTCCTTGAATCCACAGTTTTGGTCTCGGATTAGCATGTCCCTTTTCTGTTGCAGGCATTGATTATTTAATGTATGTATTTTCCTATTAATAATTTATTTTTTTCTTCAATCTTACCTCTTTATTTTATGTATGTATTTACCTACAAATAATTTCTTTATTTCTTCAATCTTATCTCTTTATTCTTGTTTATGTTAAATTGCCCTGTTTTTTATTTCCTGAAAATATAACCATCTTAAAGAGCTCTAAAACTTTATATAAAACATTAGTGTGATTGCTGGAACTTGATTGCAATTCAGTTTCTTACTCAATGAGCCTTGTTTGGAGTGAGAAAAATGAATTTGTTGTAGTTTTCAGGCATTTAACCCCTGTTCTCTATTGAAATATATAGTGTAGTATGGAAGACATTGGTTTTAGCAATTAATTGTGTTAGGGAACTGCAAAATCTTTTCTACACACATTTTGGCCATAGTTTCCGAGAACTTGCCCTACTTGAAGTCTTTGTATTCTCTTTCCTGTTAAGCTCAACAACCACACAGATATGGTTAAAGGATGCATATTTCATAGCATTCAGTTTGTCAATGGCAACCTAATATTGAATCATCGAGTCGAGGGCCTCTCTGTTGCTCTAGGCATAACCTAAAAACTTCAAATAACTGTAATGAAATTCACACCTTTTTCTATTTTGGAACCCTATATTTCATGATCGAAGGTACAGTGTTGGTTGGAGTAATCCTGTGCATCATATTGAAAAAACTATGATCTAAAAATTAGATCTCTGTTTTATGAGGCTTCTTTTTATACCCTATGAAGTCCATGGACCTCATAACTGATAAATTGGAAGACTCTGTTTTCACTTCCAAGATTTGGTTTTTGACTAGTCCTAATAATATGAACAGGCTTGAGTGTTTAATCCTAAGGGCTATAAAGACAATTTTGAAATGATGTAAATTTTCTCACTCTCCTTTCATCACAAAAGAAGAAACAATTTTTACAGTATGTGATAAGATGTCAGGAGAAGAATCTTTTGTAGGCAAACCAAACAAATTTGCCAGTTGTGAGGTGGATCTTAGACGATGTCGATACAGTCCAGTACTTCGTCTTAAAAACTGATGTGGCAAAACAAGTCTCTATGAGTGGTTTTTATATTAAAAGAATAGATTTTTAATGTCCCGGTTTCAAATCTTGACCATGTACTATTTTTATAAGGGATTGTCTACAAAGAGATTTATCTTTTTTCACAATCATTTTTATCTCATAAATTTTAAAATGGATGGTTGTAAGAGTGCCATTGAATAAACACCGTTTAAAAAAAAAGAAAAACTCAAACGTCATGATCCACTTCAAGCCCATTAATTCGACATCTAATGAGTGAAAATCATTGTGACTGATGTACAAAAAATAAATGGTTTTTTTTGTAGACAATTCTTATTTTAAAGCGAAGGCGTTGGGACATCAAAAGTGAGGCTTGTAGGTAACATAGTAGCGTATCTTAAGTTGTTTCCATGCCATGGATGAGAATGCTTGATATGGACATAGGTTTTTAGGGAAGTAGAGGAAGGATAAAAATGGTCAATATACTTGTCTTTTTAGGATAAAATTGACAGGCCCGTGATTGAAAAAACATTGGGTTTTTCATTGGGCAACTATTCATTTAGGGACTAGCAAAAACATCAAAATGGGATGGCTAGAGTGGGTCTTCCTCGGTCAACATCTTTTTTTTTCAAACAGAAGTTGAATTGAGGAATAACCCACTGTGGCTGTCCCTTTTGACATCATACGGCTTGATTGAAGTGCTTTTTGGCAGTCCCATAACCAAATTGTATGTACCTATGGTCTTTTAAGCTATTAGGATTTGGCCTTGGGTTTGAGTGGTTAGAAGTTGACTTTAGGAGCGTTATATCTCAGGTTCGATTCCTACTGCTGCTGGACTACCAAAAAAAAAGGGGAAGTATTTTGATGAGAGACATCTCTTAAGTAGTGACTAGCTAGAGAGAGAGAGCATACTGTGAAGGGAAAGGGGCGAGTGTAGTGTTAATTCACATGAACGTGGCAACACCATGGTCGTGAATCTCATAAAAAATGGTTTTGACAATGGTTATCCATATCTTCATCAATTCAATTGCATGCTCAAGGTCCCTTCATCACCGTCCAGTTAGTTTATTGGATGCTAGTAATCCTTGCGGCCGTGCTATCATCATGATCTAATGGATCATGCTATGTTTGTTTTAAAGTGAATGAAAGAGCCTGGTTGATATCTTTTAAAGGGTTTTTTTCTTTTAAGTTTTAACAAATTTAAATATTCTATGTTTCTCTTTTTAAAATGATCACAAAAGAAATCAATCATTACCTTGATTTTAATAAAAAAAAAAGTTTATATATGGCTTGGGCTCTACCATAAAAGTAAACGCCCAACCGTGTCAAAAAATTCGGTTTTGATACGAGGAAATCCTCAATTTGATCATTTTAACCTCGATTATTGTAGAGATGAACTATTTAACAAAATCTCTATGAGAGATGAACTATTTAACGTTATACTATACAAATTGATTTAATTTTGAAATACCTTATCGAAACACACATGATGATGAGTTGGAATAGTGACAAACTTGTAAATATTAAATAGCATATCTCTCACAAGTATTTTGATAAATTTCCTATGTCCAAAATGAGGAATGCACCTTTCTTGTAGTATATGTGTTGGCTATGTACGTGATTCTAGCTAATCATTCCCTACCTTGATCATGGTGCAACTTTTAAATGGAATTCACCTAAAGATGAATTTTATACTCGCCCAACACCAGTAAATAATCTTTTTTGCATGCACAAAAGGAACTCATATCTTTTTGTACTTTTGATGCTAAATAACTCTTCATTTGGCTTTCGTGTTCTTTTGCGGCTACTATCTTTATGAAAGGTCTAGTGGAACAAGCCTTATCTCAATAATTTATGTTAAATAAAGTTCTAAAAGATAGGTCAATATCCTTATAGAAGAAGGAACATGTTTGGACCATCTCGCTTTTTCTCCATTTTTTTATGAGATAAAATACGACTAGGACCATAAAGCTAGGCCAAGAATATCATAGAGCTTTCAAACCATGAACCCACAGTCCAATTTGTGGCGAATGATAGTCGAATTTTGGAGCTACAGAGGTTTTTCTCCATGCCAAATCAACTATATGTTGACTTAAGTATGAGGTTTCTGTATGGCCTAAAGCAGTTCTGGGAACAAAAATCTTTATGGTGGTTTTAAAATCAATTTCCAACACCAACAATAAATTTTAAAACTCAAAAAATGTATAGATCTTACGGATCTATGAATACTTATTTTTAGGATACAATGGACAGTCTATATAATTTGTTACAATATATGTTATAATGTTCAAGCCAAGATGATCGATCTAACAGTTTTCCAACACTTGAATTGCAATTTTCGATGAGTTATGAGGTGATACTTTACTTAATTTGATGGGGCTGCAGCCCTATAAAACCATTTTCAGTTATTTAATGGTGCGGTTTTGTGGGTCATGTTCACAAAATTTGATAGGGCCGCAAACCAAAACCTCATTGAAAATGCAGTTCAAACGCTTGAAAAACTTGTGATGACTCATAAAACCATTTTCCACTTTAATTATGAAATTTGAAACGCCAAAATGTGAAGACTTGAGATGATGTTTTTGCAAATAATAAATGTTGCAAGATAGATCAATTTTGTGACTTACGAACCATTTTTTTGAGATCCATGATAGTGGAGGTCAAGCTCATCGATATACAACTACAATTGGGATAAAGCTCAAATAGTTAAAATAAAATTTGGATGATGATAATGATGGTTTGGTGCAGCTATACAACTCGCAGCATATCAATCATAGAGAACATATTTCTTTTTAAGTGGGAAACTTTTTGTGAGGAACAAGAATACACTAGGAACAATCCTAGGGACATGCCCTAAATGGACAAACATATCTCCTATTATAAAGGAACATGTTCCCCATGTGAGATGTGCATCCTTTAGAGTGATTGATTAAGACAATTCCTAAATACAAAATTTGTAGATTAATTGAGATTATGCCTCCTCCACTAAGAGCTTCCTTATAGGTGCTAGCTTCTAGATGATATGCATCCCTAGTGAAGGTGTTATTTGGATATCATTTAAACAATACAAAAGTTGGGATTCTTTTCATATAAAGACTTATGCTAAAAGCCACTGTTCCTTAATATATGCTTGTCATGGCAATAGTCATTTGGGTATATGGGACCCCTCAAATTTCTCAAAGAAAAAGTATTTTGTAAAGTTGCAGCTGTATAAATGTCTTTGGCATCTACTGTAAGAAAAATTATATCGATAATTATCCCTTTACCGGTTTTTCCATGTGTTCACTCCGAAATTCTCTGGTTTTTTATGTTGTGATTCGGAATGAAATATTCCTTCTATTTCCAAATAGTCCTTTATTCTATCTTTAATAGAATAAGCTATGCGGTATAAAAATAAAAATCCCAAGCGATATGGGTTTTGTGATCATCTCCAGATATAGAGTAAGAAAAGTCAATTTTAAATCCTCAAACTGGTCTATCTTACACCACTTTTTTTTTTAAACCATCTATTTTGAATCTTAATGAATCTACCATATGTGCATCATTTTCGAATAA